ATGTTATATGACTAAAGTGGAAAAAAACTTTCATTTGAGTAAAATATATGTTTTTATATAGCCGTTTTCCCAGCACCCTAGTGGGGAGAGCATTTCAAAGTTTGGACAGATAATTCCTCATGCCATTCACACAGTATGGAGCCATAGAAATCAAAGTCTACTTTCCCATAATGCATTAGCAGGATGTGAGTCACCCATCTGCTGAAGTAAAACAGTTGTCATTTTAACTGGAATCAATGGTCTGTATCACACTTTTATTATTTATATATCTTGATTTGGAGAGATTTGTCCTTTGGCTGTAATAGTCCAAATCAATCTGTGCTCACTTAAGTTGAAACACTGAGATGGAGGAGAGAGGAGATTCTGTACAGCGCAGTGGCAATTGAACTGTCAACTTAAAGCTCTTGATGGTTAAGTGAGTGCAGCGGAGAGGAGAATAGAGCTGATGTGCATGTGCCCGACGCGTGTCACTCATCTGGGGCTGTAATCCCACACTCCACTGCCTTATTCTATTGTGAACCAAAGCAACGGAGCTCACAGCAGGATATCAGCACCAAGCGGGAATCCGTTTGGCCCATCCGTGGACAGTAGAGAGGGACCAGGCTTTCAAATACTGCAAGTGGTAAATGGGGGACAGTGAAAAGAAGAAAATTGAAATTGTATTTAAAGATTCTCACTTTTATGAACTTTAAGTCTTGTTATAATGTTGTTATCTCATCAAAAACATAACTGGAGCTGAGTTTTGTTTCACTCACACATGTTTGAGTAATGCTGCATTATTAGTCTGCCAACATCGCCAAAGCTCCAAATACTACTTCCACCTTGTGATGTCATGTAGTGGTAGTTTTTAAGTTAACAACTATATTTTACCTTTTGTTCAGTAGAGATTGGCAATTCCAGGGTTGAAATTATCCAAATGATTCTAGTGAAGGTGTATGGAGTGTAAGCACACCGTGGAACACTACCTGTATTACCACGTGACATCACAATGTGGAACAGAGGGTTTTCTGTTTGATAGAAGATCTATATGCAGGGTTTGTGTGTTAAACATGTGTGAATGAAACAAAACATAATTCCAGGTATATTTTTGATGAGGCAACAGCATTAAAATAATGTAATATAGTCACTTTAAACAGTAACTACCCTTACAGTCGGGCTGTAAGGAAAGAGTTAAATTATGTTTAAAAAAAATTATGTTTTTTTTTTTTCTGACAAGCATTACAACTGCAATTAGAATTAAGATTTATGCTTTAATAAAAGGATTCTGTTCAAAGTTCATACTTTATATGAAATCTGAATTGACAAACTACTGAAACAGTCACATGTTTGTATAGATCTAAACTACAGGCTAGGATCATTTGGACTAAATCAAATAAAAAAAAAGCAACCTTTGCAATAAGTCAAATTCAAATATTTTGATTCCCTAAAATACATTTAAAAAAGAAGTGAACAAATTGAGTCAATAGTTTACATTTCTTTTTCTACTCAAATACAAATACAAAAACATTGGACAATAGGTGACGTACTTAGCCTAGCAGAGATATAAACCTGACAACCCCTAAAGAAATATGCCAGCCAGGTTGTAACTATAGTTAAGCCTCCACATGTTATGTATGTAGAGGGCCTTTGCGTTGCCTTGAACTGTAATATCCACACAGGAAATATAGCGTCTTCATTGTAACCTGGTCCATGGAAAGCTGAGCCCCAGGCACAGAGCCCAGAGGCAGCAGCCAGAGTGGCACCTCACTGGCTGACAACCAACCTGGACGCTCTATCAGAAAGCCTGGACTGCTGCTGAGAGGACACTGAATAAAATATAAAGTAAAGAATGGTTTGGTGCGTGGGAGGAAGATAGAACAGGAAAGGCGGTGGTATATAAACACAACAGTGAATACAAATCTCCATTGCATCATATTTTGCCCAAAATTGGGCTGCAACTAACTAATTTCCCTATAGGGACTGCTAATGTAAATTTTCTGTGGCTACAATCCAGCATACTTGCATAATATTTAACACAGCTGTTCATCAGTGAGTACTCTCCCTGTCAAATAAATAAAGATTCAAATAAAGATTATTTTGGTGGTCAACTAGTCAGAGATAAATGTTTCAATTAGTCGAACAAGTATTTATATTGCTTTATTTGAACACTTAATTAACTACACATTTGACTACACAGCTCTCTTAAAGGTTTGAGGTAAAAAAGAGCTGTGGGTTTATAGTAAATTTAAATCACATAATTTAGGGAAAATAAAAATCCCTACATATCGGTGCAAAAATATTGGCTGAGCTCATTGGCCATGATAAAAAACAATAAAACTAAAACATAATCAAACTCTACAAAGAGAATATTTATAAGACATGTTATTGCTAAAAAAAAAAAAATTACAAATTGTTTATTCTTTTTTGGACAATTTGATTTAATAATGCCACTGTCATTGTTATAAAAAGGACTTTTGTACGTTCGAGTCAATATGATCCAGCTAACAATTACGATGATCAAAATATAACTATGATTATTTTTATAGTTGACTAGTCATGATTAATTGATTGCAGCCCTGCCCAAAAAAAAAAAAAAAAAAAAAACTACAAAGTTTTTGGAAGCGTTTGGTTAAGAAAACAAACATTCAACGTGTGAGAAAGCGAAAATGAGCTACTGTGAAACTGATTGTCATGCTTGAGTGCAAAGATGAAAAATGGAACGGGCAGCTCTGTAGCGCCGGTAAAAGCACAGCCTCCCATGCATAAGAAAAACAACATAAAGACGCGATTTAACATGATAAACTTCAGCTCTGATTAGCCACAGTGCTTTGCCCAGGCTGCAAGTGAACTAGAGCGCCGCGCAGCAGAAATAATACCATTAAGGTGTCACACTACAGTACTGCTCTGCAATTATACAGTAATTACAGCAAATTACTGCACACAGAATCAAGTGAATGTTCAATACTAGTCACAGTAATAGAAAAAGGAAGTCATCATTGCTGAATACCATGATCCATGAAGTGAAAATGTTCCATTTGGGCGGGGCTGTGTGGTCATAAGATCAAATCTACATTTTTTGCACTTTTTAGACAATTATTTTCAGATGAAGGGAGCTCATTATGTTTTATTCAAATCATAATTAAATCAATTGTAGACTGCCATATAATTAAACTTAAGTAATTTAAGTAGTTTTTTTTTTTTTTTTTTAACATAGAAAAGGCTGTATAACATTAACTAAAAGTACTATTAGGCAGACTGAATGTTTGACTCAGTATCTACAGCAGACCCAGTGGTAGTAGTAATTTTTATTGCAGTACATTTTGTTCATATTGTACTAATTATAGTAGAAATCTTTGCATCTAAGTGTCTAACTGGCTTGTGGTGACCAAGCGTTCATAGCGACGTCACTTTTTGATCATTCGATGTCGACTCTTCCTATAATTGTGAAGCAGAATTCGCCAAGCGTTGAATTGTTCACCCACTAATAGGGAACGTGAGCTGGGATTAGAGCATCGCGAGACAGGTTAGTCTTACCCCACTGATGATGTACTACTACTCTCCAAAAATAGTACAAACTACCAACTGACACAGTTATAAACCCGTCTTTGTACCACTTTAAAAAGCTCTCAAATCTTGACATCACACATTCGCTCTCCTTTTATTGGCTGGACATTCATTTGGAGTTTGACGATTAATCGACCACAAGAAGAAATGAAATAGTAAATGAGACAAACTACTAAATCTTTACATTTTATTTCATGAAGATCATACAAGATCCAAGATAGACAACGGGAAATGAGTGATGACACTGCCGTCACATAAAGACACAGAAAGTGCTGAGAAAGTATTGCTCCAGGCAGCCCCTACAGCACTTCTGTGTTAATCAAGAGACTTAAATATCTGATGAAACTCTGAGTGGAAACCAGGCCTGCACTGTTTTCCCTTGCATTACTGCCAATTCCATTTTGAAAAAGAAGTCTTAATATTGTATCAAATGTAAAATCTATTGCAAAGGGACTGCCAGATATTCAAACACACAAGAAGAAAAATCACTCAGGTCACAAGATAAGACCACAAGTAAAAGGTTTGCTCAAGATGTCCTGTTATAAAGTTTTTGTGTCAGTGGTAAAAAGTAATTTCAATATTATCATTTGCGGTGATATTTTTCTGTGGCAATATATCATACTTCAAATTGTGTTAGTTACAAGTTTAGGCAAAACTTACAGAAATAAAGAAGTCTAAATAAAAAAAAGCCTTTCAACAGAAAAGATATTGTAAAAGAGTCGTGACCAACTGCAGAACAACATATTGAGATGTTTCGCACAATCTACAACAGAATTAAGTGGAGAAGCCTGTTGTCCATCATTTAGAATAGATTAAGTTTGAGTTGGGACATGGAAATGTGGATGTTTTTATTTTTTTTTACTATTATAAAATCTGCTGAACTAAAAAAAAAAAAAAAAAAAAAAAAAAAGGAGGGACTGAACTATTAAGCACTGCACAATAAAATATAGTTATTGCTAAACAGTTGCTGATGCATTTGATGGTCTTCCTTATAAATATCTGCCCATGGTTTAGACCAGCTTTAATCTGTCAATATGGATTCTGTTGCAAGTCATCCCACTTTTAAATAAACCAATAAAATTATAATTATATTATAATTACATATTATAATTTGAGACACACGCTAGAAGTTAAAACTACTGAAAATTTGATACTAATGGATTCTCATTTGAGCAAGTACTGATAATAAAAAAGTCACATTCACAGGACAGAAATGAATCTTTCTTAAACTTTAGAATGATTTTGAGCTGTATAAGACAACATAACATAGAATATGCACATGGGCCAAAACTGAACCTATTTGGATGACTGAGGGATTAGACAGATATAAGGTCAGTAGTAGGTCACCAGAAAATGAGTCTCCTAAACCAGAAGAGCAGACTTTCACATAGCCAAGAGTCCTTGCAGATAACACATTACCTGCACGTCTGCCATAGACCAAACAGCCCTGTACTTACTCAGTCTCTTTGCTGCCTCCAGAGCCTCAGAAGCTGTATCGGCCACAAAGAAGCGCTGGACGGTCACACCACTGTCTTGCATCAGCTTTTTGCTCTGATACTCCTGCAGATTCAGCCATCTCCTGGGACTCAACCAGGTACTCTGCAAAGAAGGTGCGATATGTTCAAGTTAAGATAAGTATAAGAAAACAAGCTCAGGAGCTATGGCGAAACCAGAAATGTATTTCACCCCTTGACATGCCTGAACTATTTCCTGTGCCCAATAAGCGCAAGTAAACATCCCTTTGCCACAGCGTTCACCGCTATGGGATCCAAATAGCAGTTTAAGTGGGCAAAATTATAAACTAGAGAAAGAAAAAAAAAATACTTGCTTTCTTTTTAAATAAAAACCTTGTTGAACCTGTTGTTCTGAAATTCTTTGAATTCTTCTAAATGTAATTGGTTCTTTCAATTAGCTGAGATCAATTCCTTACACAAAAGACTTATAGATAATAACATTTACAAATAAAGGGTATTGTTGAGGAAAATCAGCAAACTTTAATACATCTAAATATTAAAATTAATACAAGTTTTCTCTTATAAAAAGCAGTGTGTTTTAGAGTTTGTATAGTGCAGTGACGCACGGAATCTCAGAAGACTAAAGAAAATTCGAGACAAAAAAGAAAAGGACAAGCAAAGATCAGGCTCAATGGCATGCCAGAAGAATCTAAAGTTGTCACCATAAGAGATCTTAAAGACTTGGATCTGTATAAATGATTGACTTTTTCCTAAAATAGGAAGTCCTCACTCTGTTTATGAAATGATTTAATTTTGATACAACAGAAGAATTTACATTGACTTTGAAAATATGTGTAGTCACAGAAAAACGTTTGGATTAAATACAGATCAATCAGGACTAAATATGGAATAAAAAGAACTTGGGGTGTATGTACTGATGTCACTATTGTGATTGTGGATCATGATTGTGGATACCAAACGCTGAAGCAGAGAAACAATGTGACTTTGGATATGATTGGGAACAGTGCGGCGCACTCTGTGACACCACTGAAAAGAGAACAGGTGAACACACGTATTACTGCATGAGATGGAACTTATGATGTGCACACAGTAAAACTGTGAAATTACTTCGATGGAACCAGCATTAGACCTAGAAGTACTATTCTACAATAAATTAGATATAAACTGTGAGGAACAGTTTAAAGTGAAAGTGGAAATGGACTGTCATTTTTTGGTTATACATTTTAATAGCAGGAGTCTTTGGAAAACTAAAACAAAAACTAATAAATTATTGCAATTGTTTAATTAGAGTCAAATGCATGGGAACTCTCTCCCATGTGATGCAGTCAGCAGAAACTCCTCCTATATGAATCCTACAAATGAAAATGGGATGAAATAAAATAATAAAACTCAAACTCAAAACTCAACTCAATTCAAATCAAAAACATCCAAAGATGCAGCTGGCACAGACATGAACATAATTAAGAATACAACAGAGCTCACAGCACAACCGCTGATGCATACAGTAGATGTAAAAATCACATAAAATGGGCAAATTCCCACATAAAATGAAAATCGCAAAAGTCTTTCCAGTATGCAAAAAAGGGCACAAGCACTTATACTGTTCATCGATTAGACAAATTTATAGAAAAATATGAGCTTCCTAGTGGTCAGCAATATGAAGTCAGAAAAAAAAAAGTTCCACCTCAGTGGCTGTTATGGAATTGGCAGAAAACTTATCCACAGCAACTGACTCAAAAAAGTGCAGTGTGGGTATCTTTATTGACCTTAAGGCTTTAGATATGACCTTAAGGCTTTTGTATTCCAAGGACCTGTGTGTCCTGTAGAAAGAGTCTTTAAAAGTTTTTAGGAGTAACTATAGGCCATAGTTTAAACTGGAAATCGCACATTAACCAAATTATAAATTAATTATCCAAAGTAATTGCAATTATATGTAAATATAGATATAGCTTAAATAAAAACTGTCTTTTTATTATATACAACTCATTAGTAATGCCCTGCATAACCTACAGTATTAAGATTTGGGGCAATACACCTGAGACTAATACAAATCTAATCTTTACTGTACAAAAAAAGGCAACAAGAGCAATCGCATTATCAACTTATAATGAACCAACCAATGCATTATTTATAAACCTTCAAACTCTGAAATTTAATGATTTAGTTGACCTTTACACTTTGAAAATCATGTTTAAAGGAAACAACAATCTCTTGTCAAAATCATTACAGAATATTTTCAAGCCCTCTGGTCTGGCGAGCACCTGTATGAGTAAGTTTTGATCCAGTCCAGTGCTCCAATATCATTATTTTCATTACAGAATATGTTTAAAATCAGAAATACTCCAGATGAGCTCAGAGGTACAGTCGTGTTTATCAAAAAGAAAATCATAACAAACTGAAATTTTGTATATCTGTTAAAGGGGTGAACCTCTGGAACAATTGTGCAGAAGACCTAAAACACTTTAAAAAGAAGTTTAAATGTTTAACTCTGGGCAGATACAAGAATTATAATACTTAGTTTGTGCTTTAGTACTTTGCTGTACTGTTACTCACGTGTTTCCTTTTGCTGTATTTATGAATGAACTAGTTTCAAAATGATGCTATGAAAAAGTAATAAAGGGTGGGCATAATAAGCTCAAGCTTCAGCCTACACTTTTTCTGTCTGTGGAACATTGTCAGAATATACCTGTGGCCGAAATAAATTAATCAATCCCAGTTAACGATCACCATTATAAAAATGTGGATATGATAATAATTGTAATGGTCAACTAGTCAGAATTATTCAGATGAATCACTGCAAACATCTCTCAAATGTGAATGCTCCCGGAGTAGTTAAAAATGCACTCTCAGAACAGAATATTAATATTTAAATCACAAATCTAAAGCAATCAGTACACTTGTACAGAAAAGTAATTTTTCCCTTAAGGTGGAACTAAACCCTAAGTTGTGTTTTTTTTTGGAATTTTAGTGCAAATGAGATACATTTGCAGCTTTCTGGTCAAAAACAACTAAATCCAAGTCCATGCTGGTTTCAGTGGCCTCTGCAAACTACAGTAGTTGGTGACATCACGCAAGACTGTCCTGATTACAGACGAGTGTTTCTGATTACAGTTTGAGTTTTAAGTGTGGATTGTTCCTCATATCTCCTCACTCCACCCCTCCTCTCCTTCACTCTCCTGTTTATTCCTCCAGGTACTCCCGAGTTAACCAGTTCTATTTGAAATGTGGTTGTGGGTTGTGGGAGTTTAGGCGTTTAGTCCCTTTTTTTTTTAAATCTCGCTGCACTACTCCTTTGGTCGTAAAGATCACAAACACCTGGCTGCAGGGGCAGAGTTTGAAGAGCAGATACTGATTAGACCAATCGCATTGTTTCTTACGTCCCCCAAACCCCTCCCCTTGTCTCCTCTCACTCTCTTCTAGTCCACAGGTACAGCGCAGTTTATCAGCTCTATCTGAAATGTAGTTGTGGGCGGAGTTTAGGCGTTTAGTCCCACTTTAAATCTTGCTGGGCTACTCCTTTACCTCTAATGATTCCCACAGTGAGCCAGGCCTAAGCTGCAGGACGACAGAGCAGCGCAATGCCCCATCAGCAGACAAAGGCCCTGTCGGCTCCAGCTGTTGTTGCTATTAAAAAGAAATTGGCTTTTTAATGTAACAGAGCGATGCAGGCTGTGGTGGAGTAAAAATCCAGTGTGCGTAGGAGTGCGCGTGTGTGTATATGTGTGTCTGTGTATATGCAAATGTTTTCATAGGAGAGATCTTCGGGGAGTCGTTAAGGAGAGAAAGGCCATTAAAGTAAAGGGAAAACAAGCGCTGTGAGGTAAATTATGGTCGGGCATGTAAATGATGCCTTCTTGTGAGTATTTCCTAAGCCGGTGAATATTAAACACAATGATAACGTCAGGATGGCGCTGTACTAATGGTGCTGACAAGAGTTTACTTTATAAACAAAAGACTATGCGACTAAATTATGCAACAATTTGTAAGTTGTTTTCGTTATTATGAATATTGTGTAATTAGATAGGGTGCATAGTTGATTTAAATATTGCAGTATAGAGTTGTCAGCATATCTGGAGAAGCTTAAGAGTTGCAATTTGGTTTGAGTGCAGCAAGAGCGGTAAATCAGTTTTTGAAAGTCATGGTATGGATATTACGTGATGGCTTTTGCAAAACTTCCTCTGGAAAACATGTGATTAAGTTCAAGGATGTTCCCATGATGCATTTATTCAATATGAACTAGTGACAAGTGTAATTACAACCTGGTTTATTTGGGCTATAGTGAATTTTAATAATAAATTACTTTCAACATTATTTCCAAGTATCAAAAATGCCATGAATTGCGACTGATCCTATATGGTACTAAAAGCCAAACTCCAGAATACTTTGACACAGAATTTTATTCTGAACAAAATAAAACGTGGTATTTTTTATGTCACGTCAATACAGCAAAATCCAGGGCAATACTTTTTTAAAACTGTGCTTTAACCATATGATCAATATTCAGCTCTTAGTGGCAAAACAATTTGTTCTTTTTCCAGCAATAACCTGTGGCTTCAGTTTTTCCGCTTGAATGTGGGGAAAGTACATTCATGTGGAGACAAACACAACAGTCAAAATATGGAAGCACATCTCAGCGGTGCACCACACCTTGAAATAGAGTTTTGAAGAACTAACAAATAAAGTGACAGTTGTGGGAAAAGTCTCCATGGTAGTAATGATTGAAACATGTTGGTCTGTGTGCAGCACACCTTTGTTCAGGGCTCCTATTATATAAACAATTAAGCAGTCAGTTTAAAATAGAGTGGGCTTTTTAACTGACATGTGTTACTTAGCACCTCCTACTCTCACAGTAGCTTCTGTCCATAGACACTAACCTGTCTGAGCACTACATCTTTTTTCCATTCTGCTGTCAGGAGGTTTGAGCTGGGCCAAAATGCAGTGTTCAGAAGAACATTCCTGAATACAGTAATCCTTGGCATCTGTGGGCCTAAGTACACCATTCTGCTCTATGTGTCAGTTACAGCACATGCCACTATGACTCAAGTCGACATTCACAGACAATAGAGTTGAAGAGAAGCTAAAGAAGTCTGGAGTTCAGAGACAGGTCAGCTGCAAAACAATATG